GTATGGGCTCTTTTGGCTGCAATGGATCAATAGTAGTATCTATTTCAGCCAAATAATTAAGTCATAAGCTGCTTTGAGCCCTTACGTCAGGCTTAAAATAGTTTACTCTCTCATTTTGATATGTTCAAATAAATTAAAGAAATCAAGTCCCAAATAAAGCCTTTATCTTTTGGAATAGTGTCTGTTAACAAAGGTTTGATTTTTATCTCAAACAATGTGGCAGGGTGGATGAAGGTCGCCAACCTTTAAGCCGCATAGTCCCTATTTGTTCTTCCCAGCTTACCCCTTATCGCGTTGTAATCATACTCCGGCTAATCATTTTGGGATTCTTCATGCAATACCGGCTGACTCATCCCGTGAATAACGCATATCCTTTGTGGTTGGTATCGGTCATCTGCGAGGTTTGGTTTGCCTTATCTTGGCTCTTGGATCAATTCCCAAAATGGTCACCCATAAACCGTGAGACATACCTAGACAGGCTCACCTTAAGATACGATAGGGAAGGGGAGCCTTCTCAGTTAGCCCCTATAGATGTGTTTGTGAGTACAGTGGACCCCTTGAAAGAGCCTCCTCTTGTCACGGCAAACACGGTGTTATCCATCCTTTCGGTTGATTACCCCGTGGATAAGGTCTCATGTTATGTGTCTGATGACGGGTCAGCTATGTTGACTTTCGAGTCCCTCTCAGAGACTGCTGAGTTCGCGAGGAAGTGGGTCCCTTTTTGCAAGAAGTTCAATATCGAGCCACGGGCTCCCGAGTTCTATTTTGCTCAGAAGATTGACTATTTGAAGGACAAGATTCAGCCTTCCTTTGTGAAAGAGCGCAGGGCAATGAAGGTAAGAGGTTGAGGTAGTGTTCTTTTTAAAAGGCTTCGTTCTATCTGAGAAAAATATGGTCTTTTTTCAAACTCATTTTTTTCGTGCTTTTCTCTATTCTATAGAGAGAAATCAAATGACATGCAAAAAAGTTCAAAAACATTAATCACATTTCATTTACATTTGCATTTTACATGGTATGAAAATAACCTGCCATTGGCATTTTTTATGGGATCCAAGCATACCTTTAAGGTGAAATAGGAGAAAGATATTAGAGTCTCTCTCCCCCAAATTATAAAATCTAATGAAGGGTGGGCCTAGAACAATTGGCAGAGTCTCGCCCCTTGTGTCCTTAAAATTAAGGGCTTGTTCTTATAACAAAAAGTGCCTCAAATTGCAGAGGGAGTACGAGGAATTTAAGGTACGCATCAATGCGCTTGTTGCAAAAGCACAAAAGATGCCAGAGGAAGGTTGGACAATGCAAGATGGAACGTCTTGGCCTGGAAACAACCCTAGAGATCATCCTGGAATGATCCAGGTATTTATCAACTTTTTTTATGCTGTAATTTTTTTTACAAATTCGAAAAGTTTTCTTGAACACTTGGAATGTACTATAGATCATCAAGGAGGTTTCTTTTAACTTCACGATTTTGCTGTCTGTAAATAGGTCTTCTTAGGTCACAGTGGGGGGCTTGACACAGATGGGAATGAACTTCCTCGCTTAGTTTATGTGTCCCGAGAAAAGAGGCCCGGATTTCAACACCACAAGAAGGCTGGAGCTATGAATGCTTTGGTAGGCAAAACATAATAATCCACGTTAGAAATCATTTTCTTTAAACTTTTTATGAAATTTAACTTTTTGATGCATTTTGTTTATAGTTCAGCTATACATGACACAATTTTGGCAAATAATTTCCAAATGCAGATTCGAGTTTCTGCTGTCCTTACCAACGGAGCATATCTTTTGAATGTGGATTGTGATCACTACTTCAACAACAGTAAGGCACTCAAAGAAGCCATGTGCTTCATGATGGACCCCGCGTATGGAAGGAAGACTTGTTACGTTCAATTCCCTCAGAGATTTGACGGCATTGACTTGCACGATAGATATGCCAACAGAAACATTGTGTTCTTTGATGTATGTTACGTGTGTCTACTTAGAATTATTTAACAACGGACCGTTCATTTTTGTGTGTTTTTTTTATATAATAAAAATGTTTGTTTTTTTTCCCTCAGATAAACTTGAAGGGGTTGGATGGGCTTCAGGGACCCGTATACGTGGGAACTGGGTGTTGCTTCAATAGGCAAGCTTTGTATGGGTATGACCCGGTCTTGACCGAGGCTGATTTGGAGCCAAATGTCATTGTCAAGAGCTGCTGTGGTGGGTCCCGGAAGAAGGGGAAGAGCGACAAGAAATACTTTGACAAGAAAAGAGCAGCCAAACGGACTGAATCGACTATTCCCATTTTCAATATGGAGGACATCGAAGAGGGCATTGAAGGTATAAAGAATGTTTGATATGCTTTGTATTAAGATGATTTTAAAAATGAGGCATTTACAATTGATGCATTCGTCGTGTAGGATATGATGATGAGAAGTCTCTTCTCATGTCTCAAAAGAGCTTAGAGAAGCGGTTCGGTCAATCTCCGGTTTTTATAGCTGCCACCTTCATGGAACAAGGTGGGATTCCCCCGTCGACTAATCCCGCAACCCTCCTCAAAGAAGCAATCCATGTTATTAGTTGTGGTTACGAGGACAAGACCGAATGGGGCAAAGAGGTAAATTCAATGTTTTCTTTTCTCATTATTGACTTCATTAGTGATTTGAGACGATGAAGAGTAATCCGCGTTTTTTTTCGCATGCAATAATAGATTGGATGGATTTACGGTTCGGTCACGGAGGATATTTTGACGGGGTTTAAGATGCACACGAGAGGATGGATTTCGGTGTATTGCGTCCCGCCACGTCCCGCCTTCAAGGGGTCCGCGCCCATAAATCTCTCCGACCGTTTGAACCAAGTGCTTCGGTGGGCTCTCGGATCCATTGAGATTTTCCTCAGCCGGCATTGCCCTATATGGTATGGCTACAATGGGAAGCTCAAGCTCTTGGAGAGGATAGCATACATCAACACCATCGTCTATCCGCTCACTTCCATCCCGTTGCTCGCTTATTGCATCCTTCCCGCCATTTGTCTTCTTACCGGCAAGTTCATCGTTCCCGAGGTACAATGATGGATACAAGACATAAGCAATACTTCTTGCATTCGACACTAACTGCACGTTATGACTTTCTTAATACATTGAAAGATGAACGAATGTAGACGCACGTCGTGTCTACATTCATTCGTGTTCTACTGAGTTGTGCATTGCATCTTTGTTGCAGATAAGCAATTATGCAAGTGTGTGGTTCATTCTCCTCTTCATATCCATTTTCGCGACGGGGATTCTCGAGCTGAGGTGGAGCGGCGTGAGCATAGAGGACTGGTGGAGGAACGAGCAGTTTTGGGTCATCGGGGGCACGTCGGCGCACCTATTCGCGGTGTTCCAAGGGCTCTTGAAAGTGCTCGCCGGAATAGACACCAACTTCACGGTCACAGCCAAGGCGTCGGACGAGGACGGGGAGTTCTCGGAGCTGTACGTGTTCAAGTGGACGTCCCTCCTCATCCCGCCCACCACCGTCCTCATCGTCAACCTCGTCGGCATCGTCGCCGGCATCTCGTTCGCCATCAACAGCGGGTACCAGTCGTGGGGCCCGCTCTTCGGGAGGCTCTTCTTCGCCTTCTGGGTCATCGTCCACTTGTACCCTTTCCTCAAGGGTCTGATGGGGAGGCAGAACCGCACGCCCACCATCGTCATCGTCTGGTCCGTGCTCCTCGCCTCCATCTTCTCGCTGCTGTGGGTCCGGATCGACCCGTTCACGTCCGACAGCGCCAAGGCCGCCGCCGGGGTTCAGTGTGGCATCAACTGCTAGTTCACATCTTGTATCAATGTATGTTATGTTATAATACCTGGTGGGTGGGTGGGTGATATTGTAAGTTTTTTGGTGTTTATACACTTACAAAGTGTTCTTTATTTATTACTATAAACTTTTGCAAGGGTGCAGTGTGTGACAAAATGGTGTTTAAAGAATTACAGAGAGTTAATGAAACCATTTATGGAAACTTTGAAACTCTATATATAATAGTAGAGCAATATATTGTGAATTGGTGTATATATCCTATGGATGATGCATTATAAATTAACACTTCTGAGTTCTTATACATAACATTAATATTTCATTTCGTATTCAGTTTCATCTTATATTTTTCCTTTCATTTATTTTTTTTACAATATCTAATCCTCAGTAGGATTTCATAAACATACTATAAATATTTACTACTAATACTTACCATTTTATATATAAACATACAACAATAAACTCTGTAGAATTTTATAAAAAGTAGAGCATGGAAAGGTGATTGTATACAAAGATTTTACTTGTATTTGAAAGTAGAGGAATATGTATAGATAAACATATCTACAGGGTGTTTGGGATTGCATTTGAAAATAGCGTGTATCTTTTACTTGATTAAAATACATTTTTAAATGTTTGTTAATCAATTTTAGCTTATAAATTATGGCTTTAGAAGTTAAAATTAAGGTCTAGAAGTACTTTCTAACAAAGTTAAAAATACATGTTTTATGCTTCTAAATTATGACTTCTACTTTTACATAATTCACCACTTCCAAATACCCTCCTAGTAAAATATGATATCTTAGAATTGAATTTGAAAATGAATCTATTGATATTAAGTTTATACTTAAACTTAATGCGAGTATAATTTTTTTCATATTTTGTGGTCAAAATTTGTAAAAATTGGAATAGAAAATTCAAACGAGTATAAAATTGCTACCTTTGTACTATTTTTGTCCCTTTTATTCTTTTTTTGTTTGGTCCTATTATATTTGTCACATTTCATGTTTAGTCATAGTTGCGTGGTTTATAATCATTCCTACTTCATTTTATCTTTTAACATAAATATCAACCACACTTGATTTTCTTAATTTTTGTGCCACTCTCACGTCCCAAGAATAGGAGGAAGAGAGTATAAGATTGAGAATATTTCTCAAGGAGAAAATGAACAAAAACTAAAAAAAAAACATCTAAACGAAACAAGAAAAAATGAACCATCATTAAAAAAAATGCAGTTTTCACTCGTTTTTCTTTGAGGAAAAAAAAAGACAAATTATAACACAATCTGCATCACAGAGTTTGAGAAAAATAAAAAATGGACCAACATTTGGTGCCTTGAATAGGGATATGTATATACTGTCAATGTCAAGAGGCAGCAAATATAAGAAACAACCGTGTGATCCAAAACAAAAGCCAAACAGTCGCTATATCCACCTCCTTTTTGGCTATATATCCACTCCTTCAATATTAAATAGACAATTTTACCCATAAAAGTGGCCTTGCATCAAGATTCTCTCTTTTGTATTATTGAGGTTAAAATTGTCAATTTAATACTAATGGAGTTGATATAGCCAAATGAGGGTGGACATAGCAACACCCTTTCTCATATCATGAAAACTAGCAAGTTGCAACAAGACACATTATTGATGATCAATTGATCATCAAGGTAGAATGCCTGGGAATTCTGGTTGCACAAATCATGTTGGAGGAACGATATGGCGGATTTATCCAGGACTAATTATATCTTGAACAGGTTCTTAGTTGGCACTAATCTGCTGAAGATTTCGGCGCGGGGACTGAAAATAAGGGTGAAGATGGCGAGTGCCATCAAGGTAAACACGGCTTTGCATTTCAATCAATCGCGAGACCTGCACCACGCAAAAAAAAATAATCATTCTCCTTCAGCAACCTTATCGTCTGCTGGGGTTAGCACGACTCCTTCATACCAAAAACCCCTTGACACTACAGGTTACGATGTTTGAATGAATCTATTTTTAATTTAACTTATTTCAAAATTGGTGTAGGAAAAAAAACTTTTTTTAATATTTGAAAACTACACCAGAGGATATATAAAACAAAGGCGACATGATTATATTATTTGTCAAATGATCAATGAAAGTAGGTTTAAAGAAACTAAAAGTTAACTCTAAAATAGTAAGTGTCAAGTGTTTTTTTTGGACGGGGAGTAATAAAGGGTAGTCTGGTGCACAAAGCATCCTCGTTCCTCGCTGAGCAAGGGTCGGGAGAAGGGTCCCACCACAAGGGTGTGATAACAAAAGGAAAAACATGGGGGGGGGGGGTAGGGATTTATTACTCACAGCTCGTCTAAATGCAAACATCTCCTCTTGGCCAGAAAGCATGGAAATAATACCGGTTGGTGAGCCTCCTGAACTAGTACCACCTTCAGCTAAAACATCTCTCCGAAGTCTCCCGCCTTCTGTTTCTGTTTCAAATTGGAAGCTGGAAAAAGTGCAAACTGAACTCAATCAATGGACTCTATAGATAAATGTATATATAGGGTTCTTATACAATGCCATATTCCTTGGAAATGGGCGTCTCATTTTGTAATTCTTATACATATGTGCTGTTATATGTATATAAGTGAAACTGAAATGATCTTGAAAAAGATTCAACACAATTATATGCTCCCTCCGTCCCAATTTTGATTACAATTTTTTTCCTCTCCTCTTGATAACTTTTGTTCATTTGTGTGTTTTCATTGATTATTTGATAGAAAAAAGTATTCGTGTCAAGGTGTCACTACTTGTTTTGTAGAACTTCTGACGTAGTTTTTTAATATGTAATTTTATTTTTTATTGATATACCAATTTGTAAATAAAATGATTTCAAAAGATGGGAGATTTTGTTTCGTAAATCTTAATTTGTAATCAAATTTGGGGCGGAGGGAGTACCAAGTTTTTGGAAAATTTATGTACTTTTCAAAAATATTCTGATACATAGATTCTTTAGGATGATGAGGGCCCTTAAAATCTAACATTTTTTTGCATTGTTAATGGGGAATAAGGAGGGTATACATATACTTGCCTTTCCAAATCAAACAATGTTCCTTCTTCAGTTCCTTGAAATAGATCATCTACAGAAGCTTCAGCAGAACAATAGAGGCAGCAATGATGATTGTATAATTCATCAATCAGAGTGATAAACCTCCTAGCCTAACATGCAGAAAGAGCTATACAAATTTAGTAGCAAACCAGGCCAAACTGTAGAGCTTTCACAATCCAGTAGATTTAGGCTCTTATTGGAAGAGTATTGGTGCCTTGAGGGTAAAATTAGTTAGGGTAGATGTTAGAGCACTAAGAAATTGTGTTTGTGAAAACAGCCAAGTCGGTCAGATAATTACATTAAAAAATGACCATATTTAGAGTGTTGGGTTTACGGAACATTTTAGAGAATTACATAAAATCTGCTCCGTATAAATTAATTTTGGAGTTTTGGGTTTATTTGCATGGACAACTCTTGAGGACAAAGGGTGATTGAAATGTGGTGTGATCACTTATTCTCTTATTCATTCAATCTATACAAGAACAACGCACCCGGTAAAGTCCAACAGAGTGGGGTATGAAGAAGGTATGTGTACAGAGAGACCTTACCCCATACCTGAAAACTAAAGAGGTTGTTTCCAAGAGACCCATGGTTCAAAACAAGGAAGCACAACAACAAAAGAAAGAAGCACTAACAAAGTAAGAAACACAAACAAAACAAACACACATGCATAAACTACAAACTGGGGCACAAAAACAGAAATGCAGAAACTACGAACTAAGGCCCAAATGAGTACCCCGCCTTTAACACACCTCACATGTTCCAAATCCCGCACCTTTCCCTTGATCTTTATATATTTATATTTAGATATAGACTTAACCCTCCAAGCCCCCTTCAAACTCCTCCAAGAACCACCATCCAAATTAACCCAAGCGAGATTTTCTTAACAAAAACCACCATCCAAATTAACCCAAGAGAGATTATGAAAAAACAAAATGACCCAAGAAAAAGCAGCTAGCTTAACCTTGTCCCTGATGCGCATGCTCATCACAGGAATGTCTGAGATGAAGACTGTGTGATAGTTGTTAGCGATTGCAATATAATCTGCCGCTCCAGTCTGCAAACAAATATATTATACGTATCAAACTATAGTCAAATGACTCAAATCCAAGAAGAGCTATTTAAACAAAATTGATGCCTACCAAAAAAAAGTTACAGAAAGCGATAGTAATGTAATTTCCAAGTGTTTAAACTCCAAACTCCTTTAATACTAATATAAGAAGAATATCCGAATTCAATGGTGTGACAGGGGGGCTTGGTTATTCAGAGTTAAGGGGAAGAGTTGGGAGGGCTATGAAATGCTCCAAAATTCCCATATTTCACTCTCCCAAATTAGGGAATTTCGGTGAAATTATGTTTTTCCTCCTAATTTCTTTCGATTTTTACATAAATTTTCTGCAGTATAATTGTTATACATGTATATTAATATATTTCTAGTTACATAAAAAAATATATGAAATACATTGCATTTACATTTTTCCAGCATACTAATTCCTCTTCACTTCCGTTTTCCCCCACTTCACTCTTCTTAAAAAAAACAAGGGCTCTAGTGTTCTCAAAAGAATACACTGCCTTCTCCTTTTGAAGTTGGCTAGGCTATACATAGTATTTGGTAAAAGTAACTGAATATCATGTAAAAAATACTATCATCCAGAGAAAGCACAATTACCGGCTGGCCACAAAGATGTTCAAATGTAAACCGTGCCACCCCATTGCAGCTCTGAGAAACTTCCAAGGTTCTGGGTGGATTTAGCAAGCACATCACGTAACTCAATTACTCAAATAAAAAGCTTAAGGAATAGTAATGAATCAAATACCTTCCAAACATCACTTGAACAGTCTCAGAAGTAACCTTTCCACCATATTTTTTTGTCACCTGACTCCACATGTCCTCATACATTTGTTTACTTTTGCTATCCAGAGGCCAAAAGTAGTGAGCCTGAAAACATCAGCAGTTTTCACTCCCAAGGTTTATAAACTTTTAATACCATGTTGAGTCCCTTAAATACATGATATATCTTACTTGGTCATTGACTTTCTTTTGGACTAAACTTGGACATTGATTACGCAACTTTGACCCAGCTTAGTCCTTGGAAATATTTTCTCAAATTAAGAAGGGAGTTTTCATCCCAATGAGAGCCAAACTGGGTCCAAAATCCAAATAAAAATATCTTTGTACAAAATTGAATAATAAATAGGAACAGTGAAAATCCCCTACTAATTGAGAACTATTTACATATGAGAAATAAATTGAATCTAAAACGCCTAATCAAAGAGTCTAGGACCAATCTTTTAGTCCAATAAAAAGTCAAGGACTAAATTGAGGAATGTTTATGTTATGAATCTAGGATATTATTATTATTATTATTATTATTATTATTATTATTATTATTATTATTACTACTACTACTACTACTACTACTATTATTACTATTATTATTACTATTATTAATATTATGAATATGACATAGTATTACGTATTATTATTATTTTCAAATACTAAAATAGATACGAGAGAAAAGTAGTGAACATAGTAATTATCCGAGTAATACTAAATGGCATGAGGAGTACAGAAAGAAATATAAAGGTCCTTATCAAACTAATTAAACACGAGATTCATAAAACAAACAAGTTAACAAGCACATAATCAACAACACTACTCACTAAGCATGGTCAGTCAGAGCATCATAGCTAATATAGTGCAGAGTTCATGAGGCCCATCATGCTGAAAAGACTTCACCGTTTATATGAGGAGCTTCTCAATGGCATCCTTAAGTTCCTGTATTTGAGATTTCAACTGGCTTCCCTCGTTGCTTGTCACCGAGCAATCAATCACAGGTCGAGTAAGACCACATGCTCGGCCAAGAGCTTGTTTGGAGGGAACAAACACATAGGGAACATTCTTATCTTCGGCTAATAGTGGAAAATGAAGAAGTCCTAGTGGCTCGGCATCAGCAGCCATCACAACAAACTCAGAAATTCCCCTGTTAAATTTAATGTCTTCGTGACTTCATTAGCACCCTTTTTGAGCTGCTTATAGTTGGAAGCTTGCTGAACCAAATCCAGAATTGTTGTGGTGAGTTGCGCATCCGCCAGAGGGTAGGCTTTAGGGTTCAAACTTTCTCCAGACATCACTGCCGACAACTAGGTTTCTTTCGTAGACAGATGGCCTAAGGAAGATGACGGATGGAAGAAAGGACTGGAATTGTGTGTCGAGTCTCTTACTACCCGGAGTATTTATTATTCTTACTATTAGTTTCTTATTACTATTGTTATTAGCTTCATATTATTATGAGAAATGCTAGTCACAAACACTTTGGTCACAAAATACACAATTAAATGTAATAAAGGGTACACAAAATACACAATTAAATGTAATTAAATAGTAAGAATAATATTAATTGTGTATTTTGTGACCGAAGTGTTTGTGACTCTAGCATTTCTCTATTATTATTTGGAATATTTGTAGTTTCCTATTAGTAGTCTTACTATTTTAGTTAATAGAATAAATAAGGATTCATGTTTCCTATTAATACTCGGACAATTATTAATAAAATAATGATCATTGAAACAATTAAGCAATTCTTCATAATTAGTCAAGGACTATAAGATCCAAATTTCACCCTCTTCTAGCCACGGGCAAGAGAAGGGTTCTACACTTTTACATCTATATCTCAGGGGTCTTTTCGGATCCCTAACAGTTGTATAATCAAATGACTAAATCAGGTACCAGGTAAACTCAGTATCTATTGTTCTGGGAAAGTACTACTAAATGTGCTTAAGCTTGCCTGCTCTATCGATCTTTGAGCTATAAGACGGCGATAATCTATTTCACTTCCAATCAGAACACATTTACAGTGCTCTTCAAGCTTCAGTACTAGCTTGTCAAAGATTTCCCACTGCATACCATCCTGAACACAAAAGAGTGATAAAAGTAAATTCAATTGGACAAGAAGCATGCTAATAAACCATCTAAGTGACTAGAGAGTTCTTCTCAGATCTAAATTCAATGGAGATAACTGAGACAACTTAGATGGACAGAGTGGTGCAGATCTAGTAAGGTCTTTGAGAGAGTAACAAACATCAAGGGGAAAGAATCAGGTGCACCTGATTTAAGTCTCTTGGTTCACGGTTACTGGTTGCCACAAGAACAGTTCCCTTACTCAATAATCTGCTAACAATTCCAGACAATGCCACAATAGCAAAAACATCAACAGTCTGTAATTTGAAAAAATACCAATCAGAAACAATAATCTGTCTTTCAAATTTACATTATGGTAACCTAAGAAAGTAAGAAACAGTCAAACAGATGTGGATGGGAATTATTTGCCAAGGTCATCACCTAGCAACATAAGAAAAGTCAGGTTTCAAACACTTTCGTCCCAAAAAGAGTCTAGTTTGATCAAATGAAACTAATTTGCCAAAAAAGAGGTGTCACAAGCAAGGGATATATGATAGGTATAGTCAACCCAATTTTTTTTAGAAATAGAACTTAAATTCATATCAAGTACCAACTGGGTTTTCAAAAAAAAGAAAGTACCAACTGGGTTGTTGTTGTTGTAACTTCGATTCATAATTTATGAGGGTTTTACCTTACCACAATTAAGCTGTGCATTGGTCAAACATGTCTTATTTTGGGACGATCTAAGTAATGATTAAGATAATTTAGCACCTTTCACCCTTTGTAATCAAGAGACATCTCTTTCTGTCCATGTGTTACCTATGTTACTGGGTCAATGTCCAACTTCTACCAAGTGAACATCATTCCAAGTTATAACAAACACTTAGAATATACAGCCTAGCTACATGTTTACTTTGTAAAGTGTGATGTGATTATCACGTGATCATTTAAAACCTCTTTCAGTTTTTAAGTTTGCCATGTGATTATCATGTGTTTTACCAAACTTGGAGGAGGCTAAGGCAGGAGAAGCAGATGGATTTTTTGCTCATTTCAGGATGGTGAGATGTAAGAGGTATAAGAGAACATTGAATCTGGCGTTAGGAAAGTCAAAAGCACATACAGAAGATAGATGAAAGCAAAACAGAAGGGATCTTAATGTGATATTTGGTACAACATACGGAGTATCAAACAGGAAGAACATGGTGGTTTTCCAGTGAAAGAGTAAAAGACAGAGTGGTGATACACAAAAAAGACGAGACTCAGAACTTAGCTATGAAAACCAAAATGTATGATGGATATTTTTTGGTCTGTGTGCGTGCACATGTGTTTTGGGGGGGGGGGGGGGG